TAAGGTGCCTGGCGCCCCCCACTGTCTTGGACGCTGGGTGTATCAAATCCTTAAAATGAAATCTGGGAATGGCTTGGGCCACTGTGTTTCGAGGGCCTCGTCTGCCGTGATCACCCGCTAAACCTGAACATGGAAGTGCAACTAGAACCGCGTGACTCAAGGGTTTAGGGTTTGGGGTTTAGGGTTTAGGGTTTAGGGTTTAGGGTTGAAAATCGCGCGACTCAAGGGACTCTAACTTGGACCCCAAAGTGGCCACACGGTGCCCTAGGAGAGAGCGCGATCCTAGACACGAGAGTCACGAAACGGGCCGAGCGGCGAAAGCGACCCGAGAGCAACCTAGCCATAAAAAGGGGAGTTACCCTTTGTGGCTGACAAGGGCTTGGAAGGGAAGCTAACCCTGAAAAAAGGAATAAGGGCCTCTCTGGGTCCGAGTATCCCTAAACCCTAAACCCTAAACCCTAAACCCTAAATCATGTGCTTCATTCACTCAGCCCTTGAAGCAAAAGTTGATGCCCATGGTCAAGGTCAAGGCCTCCTACGCCGCAGGTTCAGGGTTTAGGGTTTAGGGTTTAGGGTTTAGGGTTTAGGGTTTAGGGTGTAGGGTTTAGGGTTTAGGGTTTAGGGCTTAGGGCTTAGGGCTTAGGGTTTAGGGTTTAGGGTGCATCGTCTCGAGTTGTGCGGGACCCTTTGAAACCGCAAGCCCCAAAACTTCCAACCCTTGAAACACCTAACCCGCGAACAACTTTGACCCTTTTGAACCCTCAAAACCCTAAGCCTTCTAACCCTTGCAAACTTGAACCCTAAACCCTAAACCCTAAACCCCTAAAGCCCGAGAGCCCCAAAAGCCCAGAGGCTCCATACTCTGAATGCTATGAACGCACACCCGGAGCTCGGAACCCCGAAGAGCGCAACTTGCAAACACCTTTGCTTGACAGGTTTTAGGGCTTAGGGTTTAGGGTTTAGGGTTTAGGGTTCAGGGTTTGGAGTTTAGGGTTTAGTGTTTGGGGTTTAGGGTTTAGGATTTAGGGTTTAGGGTTTAGGGTTTAGGGTTTAGGGTTTAGGGTTTAGGGTTTAGGGTTTAGGGTTTAGGGTTTAGGGTTTAGGGTTAGGGTTCCACCGGTGCCTTAAAGGATCTGGATGGTTGCTTTTGGAGGTTCATGGGCAGGTAAAAGTAGGGTTATAAGTAACCCTACTTAGAACCTTATTTGGGGTGCTTATAACCCTACAAATAACTGCCCCCGGTCTGCATTAACCCCAGACACAGTTGGAACTGGGGTTTAGGGTTTGGGGTTTAGGGTTTAGGGTTTAGGTTTAGGGTGAGGGGAATCCTTGTATGCACCCGCGTTCCGCGTAATCGACCCCCCCCCCTCGCCCCATGATATCCCCCCCAAACCCTAAAAACACCACGGACCACAGAGAAAAGCCCTCAACCTAAACCCCAAACCCCCCTAAAACCTAAACCCGCCAATGAACGGGGAGAAGGGTAAATCCGAAACCTTAACCGCTTTAACCCTGAACCGTAAGCCCAGCACGAACCACAGGGGGGAGAGGGAAACCATAAACCTACCATTATATACACCAAACCTGGAACCCTAAACTCTAAACCCACCGTGAACCAATGGACCAAGGGGGTCTAAACCCATGAACCACAGACCGTGCGAGGCCTTTGGGGGGGGGGCTTCCCCCTCCCCCCCTCCCCCCCTCCCCCCCCCTCTCCCCCCCCCCCCCTCCCCCCCCTCTACCCCCCTCCCGAAACACCCCACACCTCTGCGAGAGCTATGCGTAGGGATGGAGAAGCTTTAGGGGTTGAGGGTGTTAGGGTTTAGGAGGTTCAAGGGTGATAGCTAGGGTTTGGGGGGTTAAGGGTGTTGGGGCTTTGGGTGGTTAAGAGTGTTCGGGTCTAGGATTTAGGGTTTAGGGTTTGGGGCTTGGGGTTTAGGATTTAGGTTTGAGTGTCTGGAGGAGCTGTCTGGAGGAGCTAGGGTTTAGGGTCTGTAGAGTGCGGGCCAGATCGACTCATGTGCTGAGACAGGGTTTAGGGTTTAGCGTGTAGGGTGTACGGTTTGGGGTTTAGGTTTTGGGGTTTAGGGTGGAGGGCATCCAGGGAGCAGCTTGTTGTCTTCCGCCCGCTCGAAGAACGAGGAGTGCGCCGCGTCATGGAAGACCTGCAAGCGTCACCCCAAACCCTAAGCACTGGATCTTGATTAGCGCGTGTTGCTTGGGAACTTATTGGATTGGGCTAAACCCTGAACCCTGAACCCTAAACCCTAAACCCTAAACCCTTAACCCTAAACCTGATCCAGGCCGCGATGAAGCTACGCACCAGCGAGAAGGCGAGCAGTATGACAGCAGGCCAACTGCCGGCAGACAGGTGCACAGCGGCGACGGAGAAGACGTAGAGGAACGCGGTCAACGCCTCGGTTTAGGGTCCAGGGTTTAGGGTTTAGGGTTTAGGGTTTAGGGTTTAGGGTTTAGGGTTTAGGGTTTAGGGTTTAGGGTTTAGGGTTTAGGTTTTAGGGTTTAGGTTTAGGGTTTCGGCTTTAGGCTTTAGGGTTTAGGCTTTAGGCTTTAGGCTTTAGGCTTTAGGCTTTAGGCTTTAGGCTTTAGGGTTTAGAGTTTAAGGTCTATCTGGAACCTGAGACACTAGAAACGCGTGCCTCCTAAACTCCAAGCGGCAAGCAGAGAGGCTTAAGACAGTGATGAACTCACAGAAAACGGATCCCAAACGAGAAAGGGTTTAGGGTTTAGGGTTTAGGGTTTAGGGTTTAGGGTTTAGGGTTTAGGGTTTAGGGTTTAGGGTTTAGGGTTTAGGGTTTAGGGTTTAGGGTTTAGGGTTTAGGGTTTAGGGTTTGAGCCCTGAACCCCCAGAAGCCAGCCAACCATAGTCAACCTACCGAGGCACCAGGCTCTGCCAGGCCTCCTCGTCGTCCGCCCGCCATTTGTTCAGGAGCGCCTGCGCGCATGCGCACGCGCGCTGATGGTTTAAGGGGTTTAGGGTTTAGGGTTTAGGGTTTAGGGTTTAGGGTTTGGGGTTTGGGGTTTGGGGTTGGGGTTTAGGGTTTAGGGTTTAGGGCAACATCTACACACAGGCAGAGAGCATTGGCGGTTTGGGGTTTTCGGGCTTAGTCTCGAGGCTTTCTTTTGGGAGGATCTACAAAGTAAGCTCCCCTTCAGGGGGCTCCTGCAAATTTATGATCCTACAGTAGGCCCAGGTACGAAAAACCGAAGCTTGAATTGCCCTAAACCCTAAACCCTAAACCCTAAACCCTAGGAGGTTTGGGGTTTACGGTTTAGGGTGTAGGGTTTAGGGTTTATGGTTTAGGGTGCAGGGTTTAGGGTTAACGGTTTGGGAAGGGACTCTGTACGTACCTTAATGTAGCTGCGTAGTCCTAATCGCCTCGAAACAGGCCCTTGTAGTACTAACCACTTAGAAGTGGGCTTATAACCCTACTTCTAATTGGGATAACCCCTATAAGGCCCTTTAGGGGTGTTAGAACTGGGCTTATAACCCTACTGATAATTGGGATAACCCCTATAAGGCCCTTTGGGGGTTTTAGAAGTAGGGCTATAAGTACAGTTATAATTGGTTAGTAAGTACCATCAACCTCCAAGTATACCTTTGGCTTCGGGCGAGTCGGGCCCTAAACCCTAAACCCTAAAGCCTCAACCCTAAACCCTAAACCCTCAACCCTAAACCCTAAACCCTCAACCTTAAACCCTAAACCCTAAACCCTAAACCCTAAGCGAGGCGGGCCTGGATCTGCTTCCGCTCCTCCGACAGCTCGGGCGGCGCCAGGGTCGGTGCCGCGGCAGCCGCCCGGGCCACGCGCCCGGCGCGGCCTGATGCCCGAAACTCTTAAAAATCCAAAGAAGGGTTTCGGGTTTAGGGTTTGGGGTTTAGGGTGCCCCTCTGGAGGTTCATGGGCAGCTATAAGTAGGGTTATAAGTATGGGAACGCACAACCGTGTTTAGGGCACTTATAACCCTACTGAAAACTACCCGTGAACCTCCAAGTACACCAGAACTAAAAAAGAAACCTGGATTAAGGCATATTCCTTAAGTAAGGGATATTGGGCTCTTGGGACCACCAATCCTAAAAACCGAAACCACGCAACCCTACGTGGAGGTTCATGGGTAGTTGAAGGTAGGGTTGTAAGTGCCTGACATAGGGATATTAGTCTCCTTACAACCACCCAAATGAACCTCCAAGTAAGCCCATCTCCGCCCAGGGCACGGCGCCAGGGCTTGCTAGTCCTCCGCGCCAGCACTGCCACCACAGCGGCGGGAAGGGCCAGCTGCGCGGCGCGCGGCCGCGAAGGGGTGGCGCGAGCTTGGCCTCCTTGTGGCGGAGGAGGCGCCGACACTTCTCCTCTCCAGGTTTAGGGTTTCGGGTTTAGGGTTTAGGGTTTAAGGTTTAGGGTTCAGGTTTTAGGGTTCAGGGTTTAGGGTTTAGGGTTTAGGGTTTATGGTGTAGGGTTCAGGGTTTAGGGTTTAGGGTTTAGGGTTTAGGGTTTAGGGTTTAGGGTTTAGGGTTTGGGAGGAACTCGAAAGTAGAGTGGGGGGTGGTCGCTTCTTCCGAAACAGTCGAACTACAAGCGTGGCGTTCATGATCCTTCTGCAGGGGGGGGGGGGTGTATCACAGGAGCCTACATGGATATTTCGTATAGTAGGGTCATGCATTGTATGCCCTTATGAGTGGAACCCCCAACAAGGGTACCGGGTACTACTGTGCTCGGAAACCGGCAACCCCAACATGATTGACAGCATCATCGCCGCGTCATTCCCAGACAATTGGCCCTCAGAAGTACTCATGACAAACGAAGCGCCATACATAGATGCTGTCGATCACGCACCTGGAGCGGCAATGGCCCAATTCCCGCGATGTACTTCGAGGTCTCGAAGGAGCTATTTGTAAACCTTACATTTTAAACCTTGAATCTTAAACCCTAAACGGCCACAAATCCCCAACCCAAAACCCTCCAAACCTTAAACCCCAAACG